CGCCAGAACATTTATTCCAATAGATTGTTGTCTGTATAGCCTACCGGAATAATACACAAAATACAGATTATTCCAATAATCCTTTTATAGATTTTGCTGTTGGTAGGACGTTAAACCCTTTTCAATCAATCAGTCTATTAGGGATAGAAAACAACTGGTAAAAAGTGATTTTATAAAATTTCGTCAGTACTTTCTTAGGATATCTACATCTAACTTAGAACCAAAGTTATCCGGTAAACATTTAACCTATTGTAGTTGTTATGTATGTGGACATGTCAGGTTATATTGGGTATTACGTAAGCAATTTGTCGGCAGTTTTCTGAACATCATCGACAGAACATTTATTCCAATAAATTGTTGTGTCCGTATAGCCGACCGGAATAATACAGAATATATATATTATTGCAATAATCCCTTTAAAGATTTCTCTGTTAATAGTAGAAAAAAATATAACAAATTAACTATTTTGAAAATAAAACAAAATTTGAAAATAATTATCTCAACATGTATTTTTAAATGATTTTGTTAATTTTCTTATTTACTTACAGAGGATATTAAACCGAACAGACTTCGTACCAAACAGTCCCTCAGGACTAGCCTGGTGTCCGGCTGTACACACACAACGTTGTTTGTGGAAGGTTTTGTCCATATTTAACATCAGGCTGGAGGCTGCTGTTGTGCGATAGGTCAGATTCCGCCCGACAATGGTTGACCCTTGACACTGCCATGTCAGTGTTGCCAGAGGGTTTCCACCCTCTACCTGACATTCGAGTGTTACTGTTGTACCCATCTGAACGTTGTATGTACCGGATGGCGACATCACTACATTTCCCTCCGGTGGATCTGCAAAAATAGTTAAAGAAAACGTAGCATTACTGTTAAAATTTATGTCGGTTACCCAGATCATCAACACTGTAGATATTTACAAAAAAAAACTATTAGCCTAGATATTTTTAGGAAATATTCTGCATCAGTAGAAAAATGTTGTTTGGTTCATATTCGGGATGTCTATTCCTAATAATATTCCAAATATTTCGTTGTATTTCGTAAATGGACCTTTCTTTACAAAACTATAAAGACAAAAATCATCAAAATTGTGCCGAACAATGTTTTTATATCTGACGCATCTTCGATCAATACTTGAGTCACAGTCATATGTTGGTGGCATGAATCTCGAAAATGCTGATCTTCGCACCGAAGAAATTTCGCACGTGTATAATATATATGTGTTGAGTATAATAATAAATATATCGGAGAATTACTGGTGTAATATCAAACAAGAGGCCTAGATGGTTTATATCCCTCACCTGAATATATAAGCAATCATGGCAATATATTCTCTAAATATCATCCCAGGGACAGGGCCAGATCCAGAGGTCAGTCCTTATACCATATATGTATTTGATTTTTTCATGGCAAGCCGTTGCATGTATGGTAATTGGGTGGAGATCGGAACTGTTTCGAAGTTGTAACTCAGAAACAAGGTCTCTAAGGTTGTTGCTAGACCCCAGAGTCAATTCTAATATCACGATTGCATTTGTCTATTTATTCGAAGCAATTGCATAGTTTTTTGGTGGGGATCTCTACCATTTCAACGTTATGACCAAGCAAAGGGTTGAGTCTACAAGGGTGGGTCAGACCAAGCGGTTAATTCTAATATCATGACTGCATTCGTCTCTTTATGCCAGGCAATTGTATATACAGTTTTGGGGTGGGAATCGCAACCGTTTCTTAGTTATGACCCAGGGTTTAAGTCTCCAAGGGTGGGGCCACTCTGGAAGCATATGTGCACTCGTCTATGTATACTAAGTACAATTGTATATATGGTTATAGAGTGGGGATCTCAACTGTTTCGAAGTTGTGACCCAGAATCAAGGTCCCAAAGGGTGTAGCCAGACCCAAGGGTAAATACTAATATCATGATCGTGTTCGCCTTTTTATACCAAACGATTATATATTTAGTTTTGGGATGGGGATATTAACCGATTCACAGTTATGACCCAGGGACTTAGAATCCAAAGGTTGGGCCAGACCCCAGGGCCACCCTTGAAGCATATGTGCATTCATCTCTTCATACTCAGCAATTGTATATATGGCTATATTGTGGGGATCTCAACCATTTTCAAGTTTAAACAGTTTTGCGCACCACTTGGCCTGGGGGGGGGGGGGTCAGCCTGTTGATATGCATATCTTTGTTGGCGGATTAGTCGAATGGTTAACACTCAGGCCTTCCACGTAGCCGGTAGGGGTTCGATTCTCGAAGTCGTTGTGCGCATGGATATTAAGAGAAAGTGTTTTCCACTTGGTCACACAACTCCAACAGCACAGGTGGAGTATAAATTGGTCTGAGGTGGATGTTACGGTTTCTGTGCATTTAAGTGAGGTGGCATTATAAACGAAGCCGTTGGAAGCACGGTCCCACAAACAAAACACATAAAATCTCCAGCACACATGCAGGCATACACACATAGGGAGATATTAGCCAGGTGACATAAGACTAGTACTTAGGAATGATGAATTATTCTTTTTAGCCTGAACTCAGCCCCTGGGGGTCAGCCCCATTTTTGTACAATTTTACATACCCACTTCCAAAGAATTCAACCATTCAAATACGGTTGATATCCATTGCTTAGTTCCAGATATGAAATCGCTTGAACCGATATAGCCAAATAACCTTTCTTGGCTCAACCCCGTAGCCCCCTGTAGTGTCCACACCACCATTTGTACAATTTTGAATCCCCAACACCTAGGGATTGTTCCCGTCAAATACAGTTGCTATCTATTTATTACTTCTAAATAAGAAGTCGCTTAAACAGTATTAATAAATCACCTTTTTTGGCCTGCCTTTAGCCCCCTGGGGGTCAGCCTCACCATTTGTATTACAAGTTTGAATCACTACAGTTAGAATTACGCCCAAGTATCCACCTAGGTTCAGTTAGTTCTGCGTGCGGCTTGCGTGCGGTTAGCGGTAGTCTAGCGTCTAGAAAGCGATCGTTCACCATTCGAGCACCGTTCGTATGTTTCGTCTGTTTCGTTCGTATCAGCTAAATCGTACCGTTCGGTTATTTCGACCGTCCCTATCCNCAGACGGATAAACGCTCCCCATACAATATTACGCCCCGTCAATTTCTCAATAACACTACCAGACTTCCTTAATAGGGTAAAAAGATCATGAACGCACAGATGTTAATGTTAAAGGGCATATTAAATTACAGGATACTTGCGACAATTTAAGTTATTACGTTTTTGCACGTGAAATATGCAAAATTAATCATTAAAGTGTTACTTTTTACTGCATCAGTCCAAAAGACTGTGTTTCCTATCACTAGTAATTCCCCATGTGACAGCGCGGATTTGCAGCAGACTTTTCAGTGCAATATCACTGTAACACCATACATGT